AGGCAGCCGGGGGGGGGGGGGGCACACCCAGACCCAGTCAGACCCTGTCAGCCCCTTCCTAGCCCCTAACTCCCTCTCGGGTCAGGCTGCACCCAGGGTCAGGGGTCAGGGCTAAAACTCACACATCCTGTCCAGCCCTAAGGCTGCTGTCCAGCCCAGCTCTTTGAGGGCCAGGCTGGGGTTGGCATAACAGGCAGCCACGTCGCCTTCCCGCCGTGCCACCACCTTGTAGGGGATCTGCAAGAGAGGGGGCTTAGCTGAGCCGGCCCCGGTCTCTCCCACCCAGCTGCCGCCCGGGCTCGGAAATGCAGGTGCCTGTGCCCAGCACTAAGGCAGGCAGAGGAGCCATGCAGCACGGGGATGCCCATCAGGGAGGCTGGTGGGAGGGGCCCAGGTCACTGTGAAGTGGGTGGGGGTGGAGGGACCCAGGTCGTTGCTAAATTTGGGGCAGGGTTGGCGGGGAGGCACTGTGTGGACAGCTGGCTTACCTTCTGCCCTGAAGCCTTTTCCATGGCCCGGACCATCTGTAGCACCGAATAACCTGTGCCCGTGCCCAGGTTATAGATCTGCCCGGGGAGGGTTGGGGGGGAAGCAGGTTGTGGAGGAGGCTGGACTAGCCACCCCTCCAGACCCCATCTCCTTCACCAAACTCGCTTCTCCCTTCTCCCTACCCGACAGCCACACTGCTCCTTCAGCTTCCTCAAGGCCGCGATGTGGCCCTTGGCCAGATCCACGACATGGATGTAATCCCGGACACCTGCAGAGGCAGCGTTTGGGTGTGGGGGTTCAGTACATCTCTGTCCGACCCCTGGCTCCCGCGCCTGGGTCCTCCTGGTCCTGGGCTCACCTGTGCCATCCTCTGTGTCATAGTCATTGCCAAAGACATTCAGGGCCTCCCGTCGCCCAATTGCCACCTGGGGTGGAGGTCAGGTCAGCTCTTTCCAGGCCTTTGGCACCAGTTGTACCCTTCCATCCCAGGGCCGCCCCCTGACCTTCCCCTTCTTCCTTACCTGGGAGACATAGGGCATGAGGTTGTTGGGGACGCCCTGGGGGTCCTCACCGATGCGGCCTGAGGCATGCGCGCCGGTGGGGTTGAAGTACCGCAGCAGCACTGCGTTCCAGGCCTGTGGGACACCGCTCAGATGATGGGGAGGGAGGTGCAGGCTGCACCCCGGCCGAGTCCAGAGCTCTTCACCTGCCCGCCCACCCCCCCATGCCTAGTCTCTATCCCCAGAAAGTAGCTGGGGGTCAGGCCCCCCCACCCAGTGCTGTGACTTCGGGCAAATCACCACAGCTTCCCGAGTTCTTGCTGGGGGTGTTCGCGGGAGATCATGGGTCTGAGTGGAGCCAGGGCTGGGTCAAGAATTGCAGGGGCGGGGGTCCTCTCACCTTGTCTGCCCGGCACAGGTCCCGGATCATTTCCTCGATGAAGAACTTGGACTTGCCATAGGGGTTGGTACAGCCCCCCGTGGGGTGGGCCTCATCCAGGGGGAGGTACTGAGGGTTCCCGTACACGGTAGCTGAGCTGCTGAACACCAGGTTCTTCACCCCGTGGGCCCTCATGATCTGGTCACGGAGGGGAGGCGTCAAGGGCCCCTGCCTCACACCTTATTCCCTCCCCCTCACTCCTTCACAGGTGAGAGGGGCTGAGGGGTGGGCACTCCCGTTTACAGATGGGGAGACCGAGAGGTAAAGAGAGACACGTGTCCAAGATGGTACAGCTTGGGCCCTGCCTGCCTCGGCCCTCCAGGCCCTCACGCACCGTGTCTGGCACGGCCTGTCTGTCCTCGCCACACAGCTCACCTCCAGAAGCTGGATGGTTCCTGTCAGGTTAACTCTGTAATAATCCAGAGGCTTCTGCACGGACTCTCCCACAGCCTTGAGGCCCGCAAAGTGGATGGCTGCCATAAAATTATGCTGCAGGTGCAAAGCCAGGGTCAGAGGTTGCTTTACAGGCTCTGGCCCTTGGCGTGGGGCCCCTGCCTGCCTGCCAAGCACCCACCTTCTTGAAGAGACGCTGTAGGGCTGCCTGGTCCAAGATGTCCATCTCCTCAAACTCTACAGAGCGGCCTGTCAGCTCCTGAACCCGCTGCAGGCTCTCAGGCATGGAGCCCCTTCCTGGTTGGACACGTGGAGACAGTCAGAGGAGAAGATGGGTCCTGGGTTCCCAAGGGACTAGCCTGATGCGCACACGCGTGTGGAGAGGTAGAGATAGAAAACCCAAGGTTTTCCTTCCCTCCCCGCCCGAAGCCCTAGCCCCCCACCCCGCGCTCACCGCGGATGGCATTATGGAAGTTGTCGATGACCACAGGCGAATAGCCAGCCTCCAGCAGTTCCAGCACCGTGTGGCTGCCGATGTAGCCAGCGCCGCCTGTCACCAGCACCTTCTCTGCCATTGCACCTGGCCCAGAACGCAGTGTCAGAGGTGGCTGAGATTGCCCGCGCGGGGCCCCATCTAATGTCTGAGGGAGGCAGCAGTATGTCCTAGTTAATAGGGTGGAATCGGCCCTGGTCCAAGTCTGGACACCATCTCTTCCTGGCCTTAGGCCTTGGAAATCACTCATCCTCTCCGCCTCAGTTTCCCTCTTAAGAAGATGGACCTTACAACTATAAACTTGATGCAATAGCGTGAGGCTCATGCGAGTGATTTGAAAGGCCCGCCCTGTGGCACAGGTGGGGAGACTGATGCACCGTCGCCACAATTTCTGGTCCCGATTCTCCTGTGATTGAGAAGATGAAACCTGAGGCCCCCGAGGTGTCTGGGGACTAGACAGTCCTGGCCGGAAGGACCCACGGCCAGCAGCACCGGGACTCCCAAGAGCCCAGGAGGAGGTTCTGTCTGCTCAAATTCAGGCCGTCCCAGTCCCTCTGCCATCACTAGGTGTAACGTGGCCCAGAGACGAACACCTCCTGCTCTAGGCAGCTCCCCTCCCTCGAGTCAGCTGGGAGGAAGCAGGAAGTATTCCAAGTGGCCACAGGGTGGGGTCCTTTGCCAGGCCCACTGAGCCCAACTCTGGGGCTGCAGCACCAGGTCCTGGAGTGGGCCCCGCCCCGCCCCAGGTCAGTCGGCCTGGCTCAGCCTCTAGCAGTGCATGCCACGGCCAGCTGGGTTACTGCCCGCTTGGAGCTCAGGATCCCACCCAACTTCAGGCGGCACCTAGCCGGGCGCTGTAGACGTGGCCCTGGTCCCGGCTCCACTGCCAGGTGTGCACCTCCGCCCTGAACAAACTCTGCGGGCAGAGAGGGGGCGTGGGTAGTGAAGCTCCAGACACTGAGGTCTTTCATTCGGTGCGGCCTGGCCCGCAGCCGCCTTCCTTCTGGCTGCCTCAGTCCCCCTCGGGGCTTATCCACTCCCACCCACTTGACCGAGCGCCTGCTGAGTGCCAGGCTCTGTACCGAGCACTTCTGCATTATTTTCCTGTATTCCCCCAACATCCTAACGAGGCAAGTGTTATTGCTGGCACTTTACCGAGAAGGATACTAAGGTCAGAGAGGTCAAGTAACTTGCCCGAGGACACACAGCTACGATAGCCGCGCTAGATTTCGGATCTCCAGGTTCGAAGCCAGCCAATCTTGCGCCAAGCAGTTCACCCTTCCCCCCAACGGCTTCCCGCTGGACTCTGCTCCCGAAGCCAAGACCGCCCCCCTCCCCCATCCCACCTCCCGGAAGCCCGACAAGTGGTCGCGGAGCGGCCCTGGGACGCAGGAAGTGTGTGGTGAGGTCGAACTCGCCCCGGACCGGCAGAGTGACCTCGCTCGGCTGTCGCCTCCTCGGTTTTCCCAGTCTGCAAAATGGAGGGGAGGAGGAGGTGGGCGTCGGGCTGGATTGTGGGCCGTGGCTCCGAGGGGGCCGAGTTCGGAGTCCCCAGGTCCGGAATGAATGAAGCCGGGCCGCCTCGGCCAAGGCGGTGGGAGCTGGGAGCGGCGCGGGCACGGGTCCGCCCTAGCAGGACTCTGCCCGGAACGCGGCCTGGACCTCTGAAACCCTCCCTCGCTCCGCGCAGACCACCCGGCCCTTCGTGAGCCCGCTAGGGGCCTCCATTCGCCTCGCGAACCTGTTCGGAACCCCGCGCCTCCGCGCTGCTTCCTGCGGCACCGCCTCCTGCGCTTGGCGTCCGGGTCCCTTTAAGAGCAGACGGCCCGCTTGGCCCCGCCCCCTCCACGCCCCCAAGGAAACGTGTCACCGGGGAGCGCGCACTACGCGGCGCCGCTAGGCACCTAGGCGCCTGCGCGGCGCGCTCCGGTGCCGGAAGGCCGGGGGACCGGAGGCGCGGTCTGGGCCCGGGAGCCCGGTCCCGGGCGGCCGAGTGCCCCGGGTGCCCGGCGGCGGCCCCGCGGCGGGAGCTCCAGGTCCAGCCTCTCTGCACACGCTTGTTCTTCGGAGCCAGCCTGGCGGGAAATCAGCGGCCGCACGCAGCCTCAGCCGAGGTGGGGGGAGGTCGCCCAGAGGCGGCGGGTTCTGGGAAGTCTGGTTCGAGAAGCACGCGGAGAGCTGGAGGACAGTCGGGCGGACGCCGCGGTCCTGGCTGAACTCGGCCTCCGCACGGGCCGCTGGGGTAGTCCGTCCGCACCTTCCTGCCACAGTGGGGTAAAGACGGTGTCGTGCTTCTGCTGAAAGCAGGGGCCGGGCTGGGGAACGGGGCGCACCGAGTCATGACGACCCGAGCCAACAAGCCGTGCCCAGCCCGGAATGCCCTGTGCCTGGAGGGCAGCGAGGACGACTGCCGGCGCCGCCCCGGCCCGCGCCTCTCCGCTCACAGACCCAAGAGCCTCAGAAACCACCACCCCGCGGAGTTCTGGCCACACATGACCGAGCCCAGAGCCGCAGGTTTCCAGTCATGAGTTTGGGGCCTGGGTGGGGAAACGGAGGACATAATCCAGAGATCCGTAAACCAGTTCAAAGTCTCCATTTTCCTCTCAGGATGCCATGTGGTAAGGTGTTTTATGATCCAAAGTCTCCCCCACTCGTACACACGTCTGCGCAACAGAATGCCCGATGCTTCCGTGCCATTCAACGTTTAATTACAGCAGCTCTTTTCAAACATCATGGGCAGAGTGGAGATTTCCCAGAGATGCTGGTGTTGGCAGTGGCCACCTCGCCCCTTCCGCAGACGCCCTCTGCCAGGTTGGGGAAATACTCCTCCACGCCCCCTTGCTGTAGGGCGCCGGCAATGGCCCCTGGGCCACCCCACGGTCAAGCTGTGTAGTGTAGCTAGCTGACAGGTTTCACCCGGAGATGAGGCCGCAGAATTAGGTTCTAGGGTGCCCTCAGGCATTGAGCTCCGGGGCCGGGGGTCCCTGGGGCAGGGAGACCCGCAGCCCCAGGGCTTCTCACTCACACCCGGGTCTGGCAGGGAGGCCTCCCTTGTGCAGGAGCCCTATGCGCAGAGCCGGCAGGGAGGGGCCTGCTGTGAATTTCATTCCCATTTCCAGGTGCCCTGTCCCGAATCACTCCCGTGCGCCCCTCTTCCCCACATGGTGCCCAGGGCTTTGGGCAGCAAAAGGGCTCAGAGTTTACAGGTGGCCTGAGCCACTTTGGAGCAGGTTTTCCTGTTCAGCGCTTGGCAGATAAAGGTCCCAGCTTCCAGGAGCTTCTGGAGGTTCACACCCTTGGATAAACAAGTGAGAGGATGTACTAAGTCATGACCTGCCTTCAACACTCAGGGAAACATCAGACTGGACAGAAAGCTGATACCAAGAAAGGAAAGGTGAAGACAGACAGGGTCTGTTCCTCTTCTGGTGGGACACCAACTGCCTGCAAGGCTGTACCCTTGTGCCATCGGGGGTTACCCCTGTGACACCTCTTGTACGTGGAATTGGTTTCCAGTGCTGCCACCGGGGCAGGGAGCTCGTCAGTCTTAGGTCATTGCCCCATCTCCCGCACCTGGCACTGGGCCTGGCCTGCAGTGGTCCAAAGCTCCGTATTGAAGTAACAAAGAGCGCCAGGATGGAGACACCAGCTCAGAGGGCCACCCTGAAAACCTCCATTCATCACAGCAGCTCGCATTTACTGGCGCAGTCTGTGTGCTCAGCTCAGGGCTGTGCGTTCCAGGTTCCCACCTGATCCTCCTAACAGCCCTGCGAGACAGGTACTGTTATCATTGCCATGGCGTAGGCCCAGGGAGGTGAAGCAATTGTCAGGTCACATGGCCCATGAGTGACAGGACTAGGTTTTAAACCAAGTTCCATCTGGCCCCAAAGCCCAGATGCGATACTGCTTCCAGCCCACCACTGAGGGCCCTTACTGACACTGACGGAGCCCTGGGGAGGGCTGGCTCATTCTCCTGCCCTCATTCTACACGGAGTGAAATGGAGGCCTGGGGGAACTGACTCACGTAGTGCATGTGGCTCCTTTCATGGCCCTTCCCCCACACCTTGGTGCCTCCTCCAATGGACCTGTGTCCAACTGAGAGCCTGGCCTCGTGGCCTCGATCAACCATACTCTCCTACCTCGAAAACATACGCTAGGGGTGCCTGGGTGGCTCAGTCGGTTAAGCTTCTGACTCCTGGTTTTGGCTCAGGTCACAATCTCAGGTTCATGGGTTCAAGCCCCACATTGGCCCTCGTGCTGACGACAAAGCCTGCTTGGGATTCTGTCTCTCCCTCTTTTTCTGTCCCTCCCCCACTCATGCACACTCTCTCTCAAATAAAACTTAAAAAAAAAAAAAGTACAAGAAAACATCTCTAACCCACTGACAGGATTCCCCTCTTAACTGACCTCCCGACCACCAAAACAAAACAAAACAAAACAAAAAACCCAACCCCTAAACAAAATATCAGCATCTGTCCTCCAGCTTCGGGGAAAGCGCTAGCTAGTCAGTTTGGGGCTGTCACCACCAGGGGGTAGGCGTGCTCACCGTGTGCATGCCCAAGCCAGACAGCATGTAGACAAGGTCTTCAGTGGCCAAGTTTCCTGATGCCCCCTGTGCATACGGACAGCCTCCAAGTCCTGCCACAGAGGAGTCCACAACGCTCACTCCCATCTGGAAACACAAGGGGTTGAAACATGGCTGTCACTGTGGGGACCAGGGCCTACCGACAGAGCCAGTCCCTGCAAACCTCCTGATCAACTGCTGGCTGAAATTCCACTGAAAAGTTATTCTTTCCTTTGGCTAAGAATTCTGTTACTGTTCCCCCTCCTAGCTCCTGGAACAGTGTGTATCTTTTGTGGACACTGTTTCCTCTACAAGGAGTATCTTCCCGGGTTCCTTTCATGCTGGACTCCTCACTCTCAAAGGTTCCTCGGGCTCTTCCTGGACACAGACCTAAAGGAAGTGCCTCCACTGCTGAGATTTCAGACCCCTGTTGTTGACGGTGATTCGTTTATCCACCCCACCTGCCCTGCCCTGGGCTGCTCTCACTTCAAGTTGGACCTCTAAGCCCAGGGGGCCTATTCTGCAGCCCGGGGTCAGTGCTGCCCACTTGCCCCTTCCCCTCTCCCCTCAAACCTCCCACAGATCTTAACCTGGACAGCCACAGTGGAGAAAGCAGGCCCAGAAAGTCACAGAATCATGTGGCTTAGAGATGTGAGCTTCTAGGAGATCAGAGAAAAAAAAAAAAGAAAAGAAAAAGAAAGAAGAAACGAAGGGGGGAAAAACCCAAACAAAGATGGCCCAGGACTGCATCAGCTAACATAAAGCCAGCAGGTCAGACCCTGACCCTGACTCTGACCGATGTGAAATCAAGGCGGCCTGCAGTCAGACGCTCAGAACTCTTGTCCTAGGGCTGGCCTGTCCAGGGAGTCCTTCTGGGCCAGCCCATAAGAAGCAAACCTCAAGGGAAACCCAGCCTGAAAGCTCAGGTCAATCTTCGGGGAACAGCATGAAAGGCTCTAGCAGAGTGACCTTCGCCTACCTCTACTTCCGGTCTCCTCAACTGCTCCCCCCAGCCCTGTGCGCACTCGCGGGGCCGGCGCATGCGTCCTCCCGGAACCCCGCCTCAGCCCTGCAGTGCAGGGCTGCCTGGTCAGCTTTTCACTTCCCTTTTCTCTGCTCAACCTCTTCACATCCTCCAAGCCTCCTTCAAGCCGCTTCTGGCAAATCCTCTCTGGCCTTCCCAGCTGGGCTGGAGGCCTTCCTCCGCCCTGTGCTTCCTCCCTTCATGTGATCTGTCGTAACGCATGAGGACTATCACAAAACTCCCTTGGCTGTCTCCCCTAAGACCCTTTTAGGTCAGGGTCACATGTCTGTGTCCACAGTGGCCGGCCAGGGGCCTGGCGCACGGGTTATCAGTGGGAGCTTCCTGACAGAATGCACGAACCCAGCTGGCCCGCCACTGTGCCCTTCAGGAGAATGGACACAGGTCTTTCTCCCAGGACGTGCCCGATTACCTGCAGCGCTATCAAGGTGTTGGCCAGGGCCTGGCCATAGGTGTCATGGCAGTGGACGGCCAGGGCAGCCACAGGCACCTCGTGCATGACAGCAGACAGCATGTCCTTCATGACTCCAGGGGTGCCCACGCCGATGGTGTCCCCCAGGGAGATCTCGTAGCAGCCCAGGGAGTACATCTTCTTGGTGATCTGAGGAAGTAAGCAACCAGTACTTGGAGGACACCGGATTCTCCAAGCCAGGGGCCCAAGACCTCAGGTGCAGGGGTCCTTGGCCTACACAGAACATCTCCACGTCCAAGACACTAAATTCCTGTCGCGTCATAGGCTCCTTCCAACTTTCTGAATGGCAATGATCATCCCCGTTCTACTCAGGAGGGAGCGGGCTGGCCGCCGGAGCAACCCCAGGGCTCTGAGCCTGCGCCTTCCTCCCCGCTGTGCCTCAGGCTTCAGTCCTTCACTTCCAACCTCCACGCCCTGTGCCAGAGCCAAATACTGGACCCAGTACCATGGGTTCCTGTCACATAACCTTATCCTCAGTAAGACCTGTCACATTGCGGGTCTGAGGTGCCGGTTACTGACTGTCAACAGAAGTACATACCGTTTGCACTTTTAGAAGCCCATCTGCAAACCCCTAAAACCCCTGCAAAGCCAGGACAGCGTGCGCCCCACTTGAGACGCTGCCCCACCCTGCGCTGCCAGAGAAGGTGGAGAGGTGTGACAGGGCCGGGGACACAGGGGACACTCTGCAGAGGTGTGCCAGCTAGATGGAACGGCGAGCCCCCGGCCACCCAGGCAGCAGGCTGAGGACAGCCCGTGGGGGCAGGGGATGCAGGGAAGGAGAGGGCTCGGGGTGACGGACCCTGGTCAGTGTCCCCTTTCGCCTGCTGCCTGACTGGGGGCATCGGCAAAGGGCTGACCCTCTCGGAGCTTCCGTTTCTCCTTCTGAGAAACAGCGAGGAGCCTTCGTGGGGCTGCGGGGAGGACGGGCGGTGCGTGGAGCGCGGCCCCAGCAAGCAGCCGCCGCCTGCGCCTCACTGCACGCGTGGGGAACAGCAGCTGGGGCTGAAGGGCAACAAGGTGGGGGCCGAGCCCTAGTCTCACCATCTGCAACCTGTGTGGCGAGTCCTTTAGCCTCCGTTTCCTCGCCTGAAAAATGCGGTAACAATAACCCCCCCAGATCTGCGGGCTGACTTTGAGGGCTAAGGGGCGTAAGCTCTTGGGCTGCTCAAACTCACTTCCCACCCTGTGCTCTTCTCGGTGCCTGGTGCCGACTCAGTTACTGCTCAGGGGATGCCGAGGGCGCGGAACCACAGGGACCCAGGGTGAGGAGCCTCTCCACAGGTCGCCTCAATTGCCACCCGCCCACTGACCAGCCTGGAAACTGAATCAGGCTTTCAGGCTGGGGCACAAGGTGGGGCTTCTCCGGGAGGTGGGCCTCCAGGAGGAGGTGCCGGGGCTGCTCTCCCGGGGGGGAATGAAGGAAGGAGCTGGGTGAGCGAATGACACCAGCGACCCCTGGGAAAGGGTGGCGAGGGGAAGCCCAGGGGCAGGCAAGGGAGGCGACCCTCAGAAGGCCCCCGCCCGGATACACACACACCTCAGCTACTTTAGCCGGGGAGATCTTCCCTTCGTAGGGGCATCCAAGTGCACAGGAGACATACCTGTGGGGGGACAGGGGAGGTGGTGTCAGTGCCCCCGAGCCCCCTGGCCAGCAGCGCTGACGCAGGGTCCAGGGCTGCTGTTTGACATCCATCCCTGACGTGCAGCAGGTCAAAATGTCTGGGTGAACAGCGAATTCAAGGACGTGGAACCGGAATGCAGGTCATGCCGGGTCGCGTCAGGAGGGGGCAGAGGAGAGCCAGGGCAGGGAGGGGACGAGGGGGCGCTAGCTCAGGAAGCTGGCCGCAGAGGCCTGAGGCGAGAAGCCAGAGAGGGCGGCAGGAGCAGGCGGCTGAGCCACGGGGCAGTGAGGGAAAGCGGAACAGGAACAGGCGCCACAGGTGTGCAGCCCCTACTCACGGGAGGGGGCCAAGGCCAGACTAAACCCAAGCAGGAACAAAAGGGCTGGGCTGGCCTGAAGGCCAGGGGTCAGTGGCTCTGGGGAGCTGTCCCGGGATTCATACACTCACTTATTCAACTGATATTTGCTGAGTTGCCCACTAAGTGCCAGGCACTGGGTCATGTGGTGAACAAGACGGACAAGGTCCCTGCCCTCACGGAGTTTATTTCCATGTAGGGGGAGAGCCAATAAAAAGGCAGCCCGAGGAGTGAATGAGATCATCCCGGACTGGCGTGCTGTGAGGGGAAGAACAGGGAAAGTGACAGCAGCCAGTACCGGGTGGCCCCGGGGCGGGGGGTGGGGGGAGTCTCTGAGGCCCTGATGTGGGAGCTCGACTGGGGCAGGAGGGCTGCTGGAAGGGCATTCCAGACAGAGAGAAGGGCGGTGCGGAGGCCCCAGCTGGAAGAATGGGTGTGTTCAAGCCACAGAACAAAGGACAGAAGAACCGAGGCTCAGAGAGCAAAGGGCAAAGGACAGCCTGTGGCTGGAGAGCTGGGCACGGGCCTGACCATGGCGACCTGCAAGCTGCGGGAAGGAGGCTGGATCTCTGGATCTTGGGTTTCCGTTCCCTCCTGTCCTGTTGGAGCTAAGGCTCCACTAAAACCTTAGAGTCTAGCACACTTTTCTGCATGTTAGAGGCATAGCATATGTTTGCTGGATAATTAATTTTAGCCTCAAAGATCTCAGTACATTTTCCTAATTCCGCTCCCCCCCCCCCCCTTATTCTCTAATCACTGTGGAGCAAGGAGAAGGGAGAGGACACGCTGGGGAACGAGCACAGGCTTGGGAGTCAGACCCCACAAGCCTTGCTTCCCCATCCACCCTCTCCTTCCTGAGCACCCCGAGCGCTGGCTCTGGGCTGCGGGAGGGAGCCCACCAGGGACTTCAGAATGTGGGCTCTGTCTTCACGGGGAGCACAGTCTAGCAGGGGTAGGAGGCAGGGAGAAGCTAACACGCAGCTAAACGTTATGTTCCAGGATGTCCGGGGGCCACGGGAGCCTGGATGAGGGGAACCAACTCCAGTGAGGGACAGAGAAAGCTTCCCGGAGGAAATGCCTCCCAGAGGGGAGCTGAAGGATGAGCAGGAGTTAGGACACAGGAGCAAGAGAGTTCAGAGTCTACGGAAAGCCTGTGGAAAGGCCCAGAGGCAAGAGAGTGGGAGCACGTGACACATGGAAAGAAGTGGGCTGAATGCAGCGTGCAGGGGAAGCGGCGCTGGACAGGGACAGTGAACACCACTGCAGAGCGAGGCAGGGGCTTGTAGGCGGCTGAAAAGTTCAGAGTGGGGAGCCACTGAAAGGTTTTAACCAGGGAGTGAGGGGATCACTTCTGAACTCTGGCTGCAGCGTGGACAGCTGTGTCACCTCACAGCACTCTTCAGCCTGAGCCAGTTCTGTCATGCGGAAGTGGGGACAGTCTTCCTTGCTGGGTAACCGTGAGGTCACAGATAACACATGGACAGTGCCTGCCACTCTTGCCGTGAAAGATGTGATGCTGGAGGGGCGCCTGGGTGGCTGAGTTGGTTAAACGTCCGACTTTGGCTCAAATCATGACCTCATGGTTCATGAGTTCAAGCCCCACATCGGGCTCTACACTGATGGTGTGGAGCCTGCCTAGGGCTGTCTCTTTCCCGCTCTCCGCCCACACCAAATAAATAAACTTAAAAATACATACATGAGGTTGGAGACCTAGAGGCTGAGGGGATTCTTGAGACCCATGAGAAGAGAGGGTGGTGGAGCCAGGATGAACCTGGCCTCCACAAACCCCGGTTGGTGTGCTGTCTGCTGGATTCCTCTGGTGAACTGACCTCAAAACCAGGTTTGGAGGAAGCACCTGCCGGGATTTCTCATGACCACATCTACTTGAGGAAAGATGGCCAGGTGCGGAGCGTGGGCTGCCTGCACCCAGGATAAGGAGCTTGTGGGGAGGAGGGTGGCTGGAGTCAGAGGCGGGCCCCATTCCAGAAGTGTGCCGAGGAGCAGGCACTGGTGTGGTCTCACTCACCCGCGCACAGGGATCCCGGCAGCCCGGGCTGCCCTCAAGATTTCGTCCGAGCGCTGCAGACTCTCTTCGATGGAGCAGTTGGTGTTCTTCCTGGTGAACTGCTCTGAGGCAGCTCCAAAGACGCTCACTTCCTTGGCTCCAGCGGCAACCTGCCACGAGCGAGTGAGCTCCATTCAGCCTCTTCCCCGCAAGGAACACCCGCGTGGCAAAATCCCTGGTCTTACAGTGAATTTGATAATATATGAAAATATGGGGGCACCTGGGTGGCTCAATCAGTTAAGTGTCTGACGTGGGCTCAGGTCGTGATCTCATGGTCCCTGAGTTCGAGCACAGTGTCTGGCTCGAGCGGTCAGCCTGCTTTGGATTCTGTGTCTCCCTCTCTCTCTGCCCCTCCCCCACATGTGCACACCCCCCCCCATAAACATTAAAAAAAGTTAATGCTTGGAAGGAAGGAAGGAAGGAAGGAAGGAAGGAAGGAAGGAAGGAAGGAAGGAAGGAAGGAAGGAAGGAAATATGTGTTGAATTGTGAACCCCTCAAAAGATTTATAGAAGTCCTAATCCCTAGTACCCCAGAAGGTGGCCTTACTTGGGAACAGGCTGGGACTGGAAGTCATTAGTTAAAATGAGGTCATACTGGTCCCTACTCCAATGGGACGGGTGTCCTTCTGAGACGGAGGCCATGTGAAGACACACCCAGAGGAACAGGCCTGTGAAGATGGGGGCGGAGATGGGAATGAGACATCTATGAGCCAAGAAATGCCAAGGACTGCCAGGCTTCTTCGGAAGCTAGGACAGCTCGTCCTCAGAAGGACCCAACCCTACTACCACCTTGAGGTCACACTTTTGGCCTCCAGAGCTGTGAGAGAACACATTCTGCTATTTTAAGCTGCCTAGCTCTTGGGTGTTCTCTCATGGCAGCCCTTGGAACCTGACACAGTGAATTACATCTTCATTTAAAAAATGAAGTGGCTCAATCGATTAAGCTTCCGACTCTTGATTTTGGTTCAGGTCATGATCTCGCAGTTTTGCGAGTTCAAGCCCTGCATCACTACTTGAGATTCTCCTCCTCTCTCTGCTCCTCTCCTGCTCGCACTCCCTCTCTCTTTCTCAAAAGTAGATAATTAAAAACTTAAAAAAAAAAAAAAACAACCCACCACCACACGTGGCCTTCCCCCAGTGGCCAATACTACCACCGCCATCGCCACCCTGCAACCTGCAAGTCATCCTTAAGAACAGCTTTCTGCCTAAATTCAGAATCAACAGCCCTAATGATTCTTTTGTCCTAAATTGTAAGAAAGTTAGCAGATACTACCAACCACTGTGGGGAGCGGGATGCCCTTTCTCTAGAGAGGAAGTGTGTAATAACACCAAGAGCTAACACTGATTAAGCACTTGCCTTCTACCAGACTTATGCTATGCAGTATAGGTGCATTCTACCCTCTGAAATCCTCCTAGCACCAGGAAACTAGGGTTAGCACTATTTTACAAGCAGAGTCTGAGGTTCAGAGAGATGAAGTAGCCGGTCAAGATCAGAGAGCTGGGGGTGGCAGGGCCCGGGTGTGTCTGACCGTGCTCATCATCACTGGAGAAAGCCCTTCAGACAGACATCCCACAACAGGAACCAGGGCTCAGGGACAGGACAGGAGCCGATGCCATCAATCTCATTTCAGAGGCTCCCACCATCAAGCTAGTCTCTTACCGCTGCCTGGAAGCCTTTGATATTCGGGGTCAGGACTGGGTAGTTGACACCAGGAAATTTCTGGATGCCCTTCAAGACTTCAGCGTTGTCAGCCATCTGGGAGCCAAAGGAGACAATGCCAGGTCACTGCCAAAGGCAGGTACAGAACCCTCAGAAAAGAAGTCCTTTCGCAGAGCCGTGTCTTCCCAGGGCTGTACTACTTGTCTGACCGCTGACGCGCCTGCACCTCCTCGGTGCACGTGATTTCCCCAGTTTCTCCACACGGCTAGTACTGTTGGCTTTACACAAGCAGAAGCAGCAGTAAGGACACTACCAGCCATTTATTGAGAACGGACTTTCTGTTACTTACCATTCAGGTAAACAGGATCTTTCTGTGAAGCAGGAGTTGTCTGTCTTTCCCTTTTATAAACACGGACACCCCATCTCCAGATAGGTCTAGAGATGCTAGACTTCCAGGGCCAGAGGAGACCTGAGAGTCAGCCTCAGCCTGGAGAGGGGAAGGCCTCACCAAGGTGCCCGAGCCAGGCCAGGGGCGAGCCTCCTCCCATGTTCTTGTACCGCACAGGCTACGAGACGTCACCTGGGACCGTGCCAGAGACCTGGAGACCTCTGTCCCCGCCTTCTACCTACTTCCAGGCTGAATGCAAAACTGTACATCTCTCATCTGAGAAATGCCTGAGGGCTGGGGCTCACCTGGGGAACCCACTTGGGGGACACAAAGCTGGTGGCTTCTATAACAGTGAGTCCTGCTTCGGAAAGCATGTCTATCAGCTTGATTTTTATAGGAGTAGGCACAATGTTCTGTAGGGGAGACAGAAGCACCGGAAGAGGCAGGTTAGCAAAGGTGGGGAGTCGGCGGTCTCAGAACGCAGTGGCCGTTAGCCCAGAGCTCTGCTACAGCGGGCACTTCAGCCCCTCAGCTTCCAGGCACGACCATGAATTCACACGTAACCCTTGCCGGTAGGTGGGGCCCATCTTCAAGCTCTACAGATAGCATTTTGCGGTGCAGGCAACTTCTTGCCTGGAAAGGTGTGAATATTTACATGGAAATGATATTTTTCTGCCTTAAAGGCTTTTTCTTAACTGTTAATTTATGAACCCATCATAAACGAATTGAGAGCAATGTGCGATGGCCCGAAGGGGCAGAGATGACTAACTCTCTGGGTCCTGTGAGCTGGGGCCCTGAAAGTATCACATTGCCCCCTTTTCCATCTCCCAGCTGGCTCAGGGCCTCATCCTCACATGGCCAGCCTACTGCTTCTTTCTTTCCCTCCTCCACCAGGCCTAGTTGCGCCCCTAGATTCTACGGATCCCTCTTTCCAAATCCGCTATCATTCTCTCCTGTATATTATGGTATGGTCTCCCTCTACCAATTCATCCCAAACAGGAATCCTTCTACAACAGTCTCTACTGTTTCACTCTCCTGCTCAAAAGCCTTCTATGACTCCTTAGTATTTACAGGTTTAGCTCAGAAATCCAAGAACTCCAAGTCCTTCTCATCAGGCCCTTCCACCCCAACCCCCTTAATTTCTCTCTCATCACTTTACCTTAAACCATTCTGTAAGAAATTTTTGAGAGCCCTCCGTGTTCCAGGGATTGTGCTAGGTGCTAGGAATACAGCAGTGAGCAGAACAGAAATGATTCTGCCCTCACAGAGCTTACAGTTTATTGTCAGAAATATGCTCTATTTGGGGCTCTGGGGTGGCTCCGTCAGCTGAGCATCCAACTTCAGCCCAGGTCATGATCTCGTGGCTCATGAGTTCGAGCCCCACGTCATGCTCTGTGCTGACAGCTCAGAGCCTGGAGCCTGCTTCAGATTCTGTGTCTCCCCCTATCTCTGCCCCTCCCCTGCTCTTGCTCTGCATTTCTATCTCTCAAAAATAAATTAAAATGTTTATAAAAAAAAAAAAAGATAGAAGCTCTATTAAAGCTTGGCTTTTCAAGGAAAGAAGGGAGGGAGGGAGGGAGGGAGGAGGGAAGAAGGAAGGAAGGAAGGAAGGAAGGAAGGGAGGAAGGGAGGAAGGGAGGAAGGGAGGAAAAAGAAAGGCTTTTCTGATTGAAAAAATAATACACAATTATTTCAAAAACATGCTCAAACCAGAAGAAAATCATCCTTAAAATCTCCCAGAGGTACAACAGTAACACCCTGATAATGTAGCTTTCTAGATGTGTATAGTCCAATACATTAGACACTAGCCATACATAATTATTTAAATTGACATTTAAATTACATAAAAACAAAATTTCAGTTCCCCAGCCACACTAGTCACTTTTTTTTTTTTTAAATGTTTACTTATTTTTGGGAGAGTAGGGGCACATGTGTGAGCAAAGGAGGAGCAGAGAGAGAGGGACAGAGGATCCGAAGCAAGCTCTGGGCTGACAGCAGATAGCTCGACTTGGGGCTTGAACTCATGAACCAGGAGATCATGACCTGAGCCGAAGTTGGACGACTAACTGACTGAGCCATCACAGCGCCCTGCATTAGCCACATTTCAGGTGCTCGACAGCCATGTGTCCAGGACAGCTCACATCTACAGGATTTCCATCTTCACAGAAACTTGTACTGGACAGCACTCTTCTAGATTCTTTTCTAGGTAGATGTTCTCACATATATATAATTTTTTTTGTTTCTTACATAAAAGTGTAAGATTAAAGAATATATGTACTATTTTATCATCTGCTTGAGTCACTTAATATACTCCTGAATTAGTAACAGCTTCATAATCCATTTTATGAAGCCACTTAAGTATTTGATCTAATATTCCCCACACCAAGCATTTAGGTGGTTTCCAACTGTTCTCTTGTTACAAGGGGGTTGGAAGGAACATTTCTAAGGCTAAATCTTTGTGGCCATGTGGCCTTCGTGGCTTCCTTTAGATAAATCCCCTTAACGTGGAATTGCCGGATAAAAGGCATGCTCTCACCTTCACTCTACTTTCCTGCGGTCTGTACCGTTTGCCCTGCCCCACGGGGCCTTGAGATGTCCCCGCAGGGACACCACACCTGTTGCTCCACCAACTTAGATTGCTTTACTGTCATAGGTGCCTGCCCGGCCTCCTGGACTCTGCTCTGTGTCGGGTGGGACAAGCGTATCGTGCAGAGCTCTGTCCGTCCTGGCTGTGCCCACCACAGGGAACTTGTCTTGCTTGAAAAACCTCTTTTGGCTGATTTCCATCTTTACCTTTTCATTTTGTAGTCCGTCTCGGGGACCAACTTCCACAATTTTCACTTGCCTTCGCAAAGTATCTGCAGAAGAGGTGCTGACCTTTGGTTTAAAAGAGGAAACAAAAAGTAACCAGAAGAGATTCTCCCAGGTTCCCAAGGGGACAAATCTAAAAGAATGGATCCACCTTCACTGGAACAAGAAGCAATATTTCTCACAGTTGGTTCATTTTAGAATTGAGAACAAAAAGAACAAAAGTGTCCCACTGAGGGATGGGCAAGAGATTCACGCTCCTGGCACAGGCCGATTTCCAACTGTCTGTCTGACAGTGGAGCATTTAGGTTGTTTCTTACACAGGCCTATTTGCACCTCCGAAATTTAGAAGTTCCAAATCAGAACTGTTTAAATTCTCCTAAAGCCCCATATGACTTCATGCTTTCTCAGTAAAAAACATCACTTACATTCTATTGCTTAAGCCAGAAACTTGACTCATCCCCTGACCCCACTCACCATGGGCTAGAAGGTTATCATTTGGCTCCTGCTGATCTCAGTGAACTCATTACTTGTTCCCACTGCCCTGCCTTCCCCCAGGGTGGGGGGTGGGGGGGGGCGGGTAACTATACACTGCAGCCCAATGGCCTTCCTCCCACAGCAGGGCCTCAAGGGTTACTGTTCCCTCTGCCCAGAATGCTCTTCCCCTGGCTCTTCCACATCTGCTCCTTCTCACCTTTCAGCCAGTTAAGCCTCTTCTGACCACCTTTTGTAAAGCTGCCAAGCCCCTCAGCCTCATCATTTTCCATTTCAAAACTGTAATTCCTTCAGAGCACTGCAAATAATGCCTACTCAATGTTTCCTCCAGTAAGAATACAAGCTCTATGAGGCTCAGTCTCCACCTCCACTCCATCCCTTGCGTTTGGGACTGTGCTTGTTACAGAGCAGACACTCATTAAAAAGTTACTGAGATAACAAATAAATGCATGAAGGGGCAGAGCCGCCCCAGAGGAGGACAGTTATTAGGTATGGGAAGGAGTTAGACTTAGACTCAGTGGGGTTGGAGGATGGAGCAGGACTTGTTCTGTTACAGTCACAGGCTGTGTGATGACAAGGAAGGGGGCCAAGGGGAGAGGACACTGACAGCTGAAGACATTTTAAAAAGTCTGGAGTCTCCTCCATTTAAAGTCAGCCCCAAACCTTCCCCTCCTTATGACCAAGTAATATACGAGGCTTCTCTTCCCTCTCTCCTCTGTGCTTAATACTACAACTCTGCAAATTAACTTCATTTTGCCAGATTTAATCTGAATAAACATACTGCAATGAGGCAGGGGGAGAGGTGCACCGGGTAACCTTCTGAGGATCCCAAACTCCTGCAACCCTTAAGGAAGGAAACATTCCCTGCTGGGAATCAGCTGGAACTTGAACAACTCACCTGAACTGGCCTTGCTTTTAGTCAGTGACTAAGGCGATGAGCCACTGAATTTCATGAAGTCAATAGGCAAGGTTGGAAGGTCCCTGCAAGTCGACTGTCACTACCATAGGGACGTTCAGCCTATGCTGGTCAAATGCCCTGAAGTGATCCCACTGGAATGTAAGCTGCATGAGGAAGGGACTGTGTTTTGTCCATTGCTGTATTTCCAAGGCCCTGGGACATTTAGGGGCTTGATGAATAACTGTTGGACGTTGTTGAAAGCATGCAAGACCCGCTTCCAATTTCCTTTTACTAGAGCAGAATAAACTCAATTCCACTTCCTTCCCCATAACAACTCTTCACATAATAATTCACATTTATTATTAAGCATTTAATATTTGCCAGAGCCTTTTACATATAAACCCTATCATCCTCTCAACAACCTTATTAGGTAGGGCCCATTATAATCTCCTTTTTACTGTGAAAAATGGGAAGCCAGAGATTGAGTAACTCTCCCAAGGTCACATGGTTAGCTGACCCACTTAGTCAATACCTGAACCTGCCAATGTAGACCTTGCTCTTACCCCTAAGCCACATTGCCTCTTTGCCACTCTTCTGCTCCGCGCCCCCCTCCCCACCCCCCGCCATCTTCTCTTGTCTTGGTTAATCACCCAGTTCATTCCCTCTGTACAGCTCTGCCCAGAGATGATCTCCTCTAACCTCAGAAGTCTTGGCCCAAGTCTCCTGAACGATGGCATACCTATACCAACAGTTAATAAGAACTAAACCCCGGTGCTAACTTCAGGATCAGTACCTCATTTGGTACCTACATGGCAGGGACTATCATTATCTCAACTCCATATAGGAAGAAGCAGCCTCAGAAAGATTAGCCTAAATCACACAGCTAGCAAGTGAAGTAATCTGGCCTTGAACCATCTGCTTCTGATACTAACCCTATGCTAGTAACCTCACGAAGGGCCTGTTACCACCGTGTCATTACACCAGGAATTTTCTTTTTCTCGTTTAATTTTCTTAATTTCTCAGGTTGGAAGTACCATCTTTACACATTAATCAGTGGCAGGGATGGGTGGCCTAGTAGACATTAGAGTGGTTTTCTGAGGGGCCCACTGCAAGACAGTATAATTTTCCCCACCTTACACTTATAACTGCTTCTTTTAAACAATCTAAGGCAAAAATAACACAACCGACTTACCACTTCCTATGACCTAAAACAATGTCAAATGCTTTTACCGACATTTTCCTTCACCTCCAAAGAACCCTGCGGTAATGTTTACCCAAGTTATAGATGAGAAAACGGAGGTTTAGAGAGTAAATAATTGTCACTCAACTTAGTGGCAGAACCACTGGGCATGAGAGCTTTAACCAAAACAATTTATTTGACCCCTTATTCAGCTAGGTCTCCTACACTTTCCTTCCACTCACTGAGTGGAGAACATCAGGCTCGAACGTGCCCAAAGTACAATTCCAAGGAAATCACACACAGTCCTACGCGACCCCAGTCCTACTTGGCACGCTAGGATAGCTCTACACGCGTCCCCAAATGCAACAAGAGCTGGCAATGCAGGTGGAGAGAGGGGGAGGGCCCTGCTTTCTCGACTCGGAACTGGAAGGGTATTCGTGATTTTCACTACCGAGAAGCTTGGCAAGCTCGGAGGGACAAGTTGCGAGGGTCGCCGGGAAGAGCCCCAGATCGTCCCCCATGTCTGGGCCTCCGTTTCCCTGTGCCCCTCAAGGGATCTGGGCGGGACAAAGAGGACCCACGACTCCAAGGCCCTCCTCCCGCACTGTGGCCTGAGGAGCTGTCCGGATTCGGCTCTCAAAGAGCAGCCGCCACGGGCCATGGCCCCGAACCCGACCGTCACGGTGCCTGCAGGGCCACCCCTCGGCGGGCCGGGGCACTTACAGCCCGGAGAGACGCCAAAACCGTCAGTCTCCGCGGCATCACCTTCCTCGCGGTCGCCATCTTGGCCCAGCTTCCTCCACGACCCGCCGCGGAGTCTCACGTGACCGCGGAGCGCCGGGTGGGCGTGCCCTCGTCTTTGGGGCGGGGCTTCGGGCGTGTCGCGGTGACACCCTAAACTGGCCGTCTCCAGTTTCTATGTTTTTATTCCTTCTGGATCGTTCCTTATCTGTTACGTTTGCTGAGTGCCTTCTGCTTGCCGTGGCGAAGTGAGGCTAGGACTAGAAAGATGAACAAAAATTAATCAAGGGGTTTAGACTCTGGGAGCTGTGGGACGACATTAATAATCATATAAATAGCTGTGTAATTACTACCTTTTGCAGTAATCACAAATACCCTTCCAGTTCCGAGTGGAAGGTGGTAAGATGAAGCATTACTATTTGCCATGCACTGGTCTGAGTTCTTGGCACGTATTCACTCTTTTCTTCAGGATCTCCAGGATCCAAATGCAGGCAGTCGACATGAGAGAGAGCGCGCGTGAGCGTGAAGCATCCTTTGATTTCATACCTTGAGAATGATTAAGATTTATCCAGGTAAAGAGGACACACGAAAAGCTTTCCAGAGAGCAAACCATATGCAAAGACCCTGCGGCAAAGAAATTGAATGCTTAGAGCAGTGTTTTTCAAAATGCATGTTGTACCCCATTAATGAGTCATTACATTAATCTAGCAGGTGCCAGCTTTTTTTTTTAAATAGAAAAAATTGGAGAAAATAAGTAGTAAAGCTAAGTGCTGCTTTGCAAATTTTTGTCTGTTGTTATATATGTCAACTGGGTTGCAATGTAAAATAAACTTCTTACGGTAGACTGTAATTAGAAATGTTTGAAAACACTGTTTTAAAAAGATGAGAAGGCCGAAATGACCGCAGAGCAGGGATGCGACTCCCTAGAAAGTTGGGAGAGATAGACAGGGACCATACCGTGGGCTTTGGAGAACACATTAACAGCTATCCATTTGATGGGTTTTAAGCAGAGAGAGATGATCAAATTCGCATTTCATGAATATTCACTGTGGCTATTGGGTGGGTGGTATCCAGCTGGTAAATGCACTGACTGGCATTCCTAGAGGAGTCAGAGAAGTCTCTGTCCCTGCCATCAGGGGGCTCAGATTCTAGCTAGGGAAAGAACATGACCTGCTATATATTCTGTTAGGCTTCCATAGTACCAAAAATTTCCTCAGCACCAAAAGCTACTCCCAGAATTCTCAAACCTGCAGCTAAAGGAGAAGATCCAACCTCAAAATAACTAGCATGGCATTTAATTTATCTTAAAATATTTATGATTGGGACACCTGGGTGGCTCAGTCGGTTAAGCATCTGACTTCAGCTCAGGTCATAATCTCATGGTTTGTGGGTTCAAGCCCCATGTTGGACTCTGCTGACAGCTCAGAGCCTGGAGCCTGCTTCAGATTCTGTGTATCCCTCTCTCTCCGCCCCTCCCCTGATTCACTGTATCTCAAAAACAAATACATGTTAAAATTTTTTTAATTTTATGGTTTTCATAACTATTATGACATATTTATTTTTGACTTTCAGGAATTGTACTGAAAACTGTAAACAAACTATAAACAATTCCTGAAATTAAAGAAGACAGAAATAAATGGAAAGGTATCTCATGTACATGAACTGGAAGACAATATTGTTAAGATGTCAATATTATCCAAAGTGGTCTACAGATTCAGTGCAATCCCTATTAAAATCCCAATGATTTTTTTTAAGAAATAGAAACATTCATCCTAAAATTCATGCGGAACCTCAAGAGGCCCTGAATAGCCAAAACAATCTTGGGAAAAAAAAGTACAAAGTTGGAGGACTGACACTTTCTGATTTCAAAACTTACTATATTAATAAAAACAGGGTGGTACTGGCATAAAGGAAGACATAGAGATAGGTAGAATAGAATAGAGAAACAAGAAATAAACCCTTGCTTATATGGTCATGTAATTTTCAACAAGGAAGCTAAGAGCATTCAATGGGGAAAAGGACAGTCTTTTCAATAAATGATGCTGGGAAAATTGGATATCCACATCTGAAAGAATGAAATTGGACTGTTACCTCACACCATATACAAAAATTAACTCAAAATGGATCAAAGACCTACATGTAAGAGCTAAAACTAGAAATCTCTTTGAAAAAACTATAGAGGAAAAGCTTCATGACATTTGAGTTGGAAATGATTTCTTTTTTTTTTTTAATAGTTTATTTATTTTTGAGACAGAGAGAGACAGAGCACGTGTGGGGCAGAGACCGAGGGAGCCTCAGAATCTGAAACAGTCTCCAGCCTCTGAGCTGTCAGCACAGAACCCAATGTAGGGCCCAAACCCACGAACTGCAAGATCATGACCTGAGCTGAAGTCAGACACTTAACCGACTGAGCCACCCAGGTGCCCCGGCAATGATTTCTTGAACATGACACCAAAATCATAGGCAGAAAAAGGAAAGGCAGATAAATTGGACTTCATCACTTTTGTGCATCAAAGAATACTATCAAGAATGAAATAGTAACCCACAAAATGGGAGAAAATATTTGAAAATCATATATCTGATAAGTGCTTAATATCCAGAATATCCAAAGACTCCTAAAATTCAGTGACAAATAAACATCTCAAAAATGGCAAAAATGTAAACAGACTTTTCTTCTAGGAAGATGGTGGTTGCCAGAATAGAGTGGCTACCAGGGCCTGAGGGGAGAATTTGAGACATTGTACAATATGTACAATATGAGACATTATTGTACAATGGGTGCAGAGTCCCAGTTTGAGAAGATGAAAACATTCTGAAGATGAATAGTGGAGATGGTTGTACAGCAATGTGAATGTACTTAATACCACTGAATTGTATACTCAGAAAGGGCTAAAATAGTAAATTTTATGCTGTGTACATTTTACCTTAATAAAAAAGTGCACACACGCTCAGCATACAATGACTTCTTAGGCAAAAGCATGCCCTTGCCAGCTCCTGTCCTCACCCCTGCTACTTATATCACACGTGGTCTGATTCACTCATTCCCTATGTCCTAAAAGCACTTGCTAAATTCTGCAAATGTAAATTATTTACAAGCCCAGCTCTGAGATGAATGCCTAAAGGGCAGGGACTTTAACTGATTATTCACTGTGGTGTCCACAGTACTAGGTACATGGCTGGCTCTAAATATTTACTGAATGAGCAGTACTAGCAAATGTACTTGAGTCTGCTCAGGGTCACTCTCAGTTGGAATCTTACTTTAAATCAAATGTGAGGGGGGAAAAAAACTGAAAAAACACCGAGTAAGTAGAATGAAGAATAAAATAAAAGGTAGAAATTTGAATGAAAGAGGGGAAAAGTTACAACTGAGAGAGGATCATCCAATTTAAAAAAAAAAAAAGGAAACTGGCTCCTTGAGACTAAAAACATTGTCAACATTAAGTGACCACATTGATTAAAAAAAAGCATGAATGAAATGAGGACAGAATTAAAGCCACTGCACTGTTTAGTTTACAAATTTATGGATAATAAATCTGAAAACTTGGTTGAAATGGATTTCCTAGAAAATTCTAACTTTAAAAAGTGGCTCAAAAATAAAAGGATCTTCACATCCACTAGAATGGCTACAATCAAATAGACAAAAAAAGATAATAGCAAGTGTTGACGAGGACACAAAGAAATGGGAACTGTCATTAGATGGCCCACGGGAATGCAGAATGGTGCAAGCACTGTGGAAAACAGTGTGTCTGTTCCTCAAAAATCTAAACACAGAATTACTATATGATCCAGCAATTCCACTCCTAGTTACGCATCCAAAATAAATGAAACGCAGGAACTCAAAGAAATAACTTGTATGTTAATGTTCATAGCAGCATTATTCATTATAATCAAAAGGTCTAAGCAATCCAAATGTCCATCAACTGGCGAATGGATAAAAAAATGTGGTATACATGTACAATGGAAGATTTTTCAACCTTAAGAAGGAATGAAATTTTGATACAGGCTGTACTATGAATGAACCTTGAATACTATACCAAGTGAAATAAGCCAGTAACAAAAGATAAATATGATTCTACTTATATGAAGTATCTAGGAAATTCACAGAGACTGAAAGATTAGAGATAACCAGGGACTAGGGCACCTGAGTGGCTCAGTCAGTTGAGTATCTGACTTGATTTTGGCTCAGGTCATGATCTCACTGTTTGTAGCATCAGGCCCCACATTGGACACTGCGTTGACAGCGAGGAGCCTGATTGGAATTCTCTCTCTCCCTCTCTCTGCCCTCCCCTGTTCATGCCCCTCTCCCCTCTCAAGTAAATAAACATTAAAAAAAAAAATACAGGGGCTGGAGGAGTGGGGAGGGGAGGGATGGGGACTTATTGCTTCAAGGTTTCGGAGTTTCTATTTGGAGTAATAAAAATCTTAGAAATAGTGGTTGCACAACACTGAGGAAGTAATAAAAGTCACTGAAAATTGTATACTTAAAAATGGTTGAAATGATGAATTTCATAATTAAAAAAAGTTAAATAAAGAGTTACCATATGGACCAGCAATTCCACTCTAGGTATATATGTGAGAGAAATGAAAACATATGTCCATGAAAAAGAATTTGTGCATAACTGTACGTAGCAGCCTTATTCATAATTAGCCAAAAAGTGAAAGCAACCCAATTGCCCATCAAGTGATAGATAAACAAATGTGGGGGGGAAGCATACAACAGATTTGTATTTGTGAATATAACGTATTTGTGAGATGGGGTCTGTGAAGAGAGGATGCTCTGTGTACAGCCTGAGGCTGAAGAGGGACGAGGATGGTGGAGGGTGGCCCCACAGTGGTGGGATCGTGGGGTGAGGTGTGTCAGAGGGGTGCAATGGAGAAGGGCCCTGCGTGCAGCTCCAGGCTCTAGCTGGAGATGGCTTTCCTTGCCAAGGGGGACTTGGAGAAGACAGGAGGCAGTCCTAGTCACCCAGACAGGAGGAACTGGACATGGGCTTGTCAAGGCAGAGACCATCATGTTTCTTTCATGGCTTCCCGATGCCTGACACAGCTGGGCCCATGGAAGCCGCTTTGTATACACGTGCGGACCTG